AGATTTATGCAAGAGATTTATGCAAGAGAGAGATTTATGCAAATTTGTTAAAATATAATATATGGATTAAATTTTTTATAATTTTGTCTGCTTTACAAATAGGGTAGATGCTATTTAAAAAATCTTGTTATCAATATACGTGTTATTCTATATTTATATCTTTCCTTGAAATATATGTATTGATTTTTATTTATTGAAAATTATATTTATATATAAAATAAAAAGCTTACATTTTTAAAAATTTAATTATATTAAGCATAAACTTTAAATTAACTTGAAAGATGAAACTACTATAAAAAACGGACACATCTTTCAAATATAATTAATACAAAGATATTTTCAGAGGTGCCATCCATTACCACCTTCAATTGCAAAAAGTTGACTTATGTTTGGGATCCGGACAGATCCGAATTTTTGAAACTGCGCGGCCTCGACACCAACGTTCTGGCGTCCACGTTACACCAAGCGCAAGGTCTTGATTCTCAGGAACAGTACATGAGGTAAAAGTCGAATCAGTCTCTTAACAAGAATATTGCGTCATTATGCGCAGATCGAATTATAGTCTTCTGCATATAAATAGCACAATTAATTGGGCGATTTATTTCGACAGGCGTAATGTCTATGGCAATAACGAGATCGTGATTCCCGTGAAGAGCATATTCACGCTACTCTGTCTTGAAGTGCTTAATCCGTTCTACGCCTTCCAATTGTTCAGCTTTTGTCTGTGGATCGCAGATGACTATTATTACTACGCCATGGTCATTCTCGCGATGTCAAGCGCCGGCATCGTAATGGCAGTTTTCCAGACACGACGGGTGAATCATAGTTCTTTAATTTCTTGCTCATCATTTTATAAGCTAACGTCTTCAGGCCTCAATCTCTAATCGCGATGACAGTAATCGAATTCACTCATTTTTCTCAGAATCAGCAAAGTTTACGTTCGACGGTGCATTCGTCCGATGTCGCTACCGTCATGCGTGATCGCACGACCGGCCAAACGGCGGCAGTGCCGGCCGAACGTTTAGTGCCCGGTGACCTTCTGGTCATCCCCTCTCACGGATGCCTGATGCCGTGCGATGCCGTCTTGCTGACAGGCAACTGTATTCTCAACGAGTCCATGTTGACAGGAGAATCCGTGCCCGTCACGAAGACACCAGTTCCTTCCTCCAACGATGTGATATACGATACCAAAGAACACGCTAGGCATACACTCTTCTGCGGAACCAGAATTATTCAGACAAGATATTATGGCAGCGAAAAAGTATGTTAGCTTTTTGGCATTTAAGTTAACTTAAAAGTATTCTTTTTTTCTTATTTGTATAAATTTATATAATTATTTAAACGCAAACATTGCGTGTGTTTTGTGGCGTTAGGTGTTGGCGGTGGTTATCAGAACAGGTTTCAACACTAGTAAGGGCGGCCTGGTGCGGTCCATCATGTATCCTCCACCCGTAGATTTCAAGTTCGAGCAGGACTCGTACAAGTTTGTGGTACTGTTGGCGTGCATAGCTAGTTTCGGCGTCGTTTATACTATTGTAACAAAAGCTATGAGAGGCGTTCATAGCAGCCACATCGCTCTGGAAGCGTTGGATCTCATCACTATCGTGGTGCCGCCGGCGTTGCCAGCTGCCATGACAGTCGGACGTCTCGTGGCGCAACGTAGATTGGAAAGTAAAAAGATATACTGCACGAGTCCAAGAACGATCAACGTGTCCGGTTCCATCGATTGCATTTGCTTCGACAAAACTGGAACGCTGACCGAGGACGGTCTGGATATGTGGGGCTTGGTGACGGTTTCGGACAGAAAGTTCCAGTTGCCAATCAAGGATATTGCTAGTCTGCCGCTATCCGAGGTTCTTATCGGGATGGTTACGTGCCACGGGATCACCATAATCGATAATCAGCTGGTAGGAGACCCGCTCGATCTAAAAATGTTCGAATCCACCGGATGGACGCTGGAGGAGCCCGATGTATCCGACACATCCAAGTTCTCCATGCTCTTTCCGACGATCGTCAAGCCGGCGAAGAACTCCAAGCTTCTCAAAAGATTGCCCAGTGATTTGGGCGGTAGACTCAGCCGACAAAACTCCGTGTCTTCCGATGTGGTCGACGCTATATCTCTCAACAATGTTCACGACGCTGGATTCGGTGATTCGACGACGGAACTTGCCGAGCAGGGATTGGAGGTGGGCATCGTTCGGCAGTTTCCCTTCACATCGAGTCTTCAGAGGATGAGCGTAATCACCAGGACACTGGGCGCTAATCATTACGATCTTTATTGCAAAGGCAGTCCGGAGATGATTCATAGTCTCTCGAGAGCAGAATCTAGTGAGTCTTTATGATTACATTTTTTATTTTATGTGTTTTAATCGTGCGATAAATAACATCTTTCTTCGTTCTTTTTTTTTACAGTTCCTCCGGATTTTTCGGCCGTTTTGCAAGAGTACACATCCGAAGGTTATCGAGTGATTGCCATCGCACACAAGTCTCTGAACCGTCTTCCGTACGCCAAGGTGCAACGTATAAATCGCGAGGCCGCCGAGATCGATTTGACCTTCCTGGCGCTTATAATTATGGAGAACCGATTAAAACCGGAGACCTCGCCGGTGATTGCCGAGTTGAATACTGCTTGTATCAAAACGGTAATGGTGACGGGCGACAATATATTGACCGCTCTCTCAGTAGCCAGAGATTGCGATATGGTGAAACCGAACACGCCGGTGATTGCTGTCTCGACAGTTCAGCAGAATCTGCTGAAGCCGCTAATTTACTTCACGAAGAGCGATAGTCAACCGCCGCCTATTTCGCCGAACGGCCAGGCTGATCTTAGCGAAATGACTGATTTGAACAGCGTGGTTAGCTTAGAAACCGTCGAAAGTGGCTCTTTCGGCAACACTAAGCTGGAGAACGATATAAATTATCTCTCGGACGAGTGAGTATCTCTCTTTTCTAGATCGCGATTAGTGTTATTAGAATAAAAAGATAATCTATTTTGCATAGACACACAAAAATATACAAAAAATATAAAACTGCATTTTACATGAGGACCGTATTAATTTCTTTGAATTAAAAAATATACATATATATTATATATTAAAATATGTATATTATATATACAATACATATATGTATATCATTATTTTACACATTTTTTATATATAAATATATATCTGATAATTGCAGAATACAATATTCTAAGAACAAGTACGTGTTTGCGTTGACGGGGAAAACGTGGGCTTTGATAAGGCAGTACTATCCGGAACTGATACCCAAAGTAGTCACACGTGGTGCCATATTTGCGAGAATGTCGCCCGACCAGAAACAACAACTGGTTCAGGAATTACAATCCTTAGGCTACTATGTTGGTAAGTGTAAACATGCAACATTGTTTTAAAATACAATATATCTTTAATAAAATGATAAATAAATGCGATCAATCATGCTTAATCGATCTGACAGAAAATTTTTTATCTTTCTACAGCCATGGTTGGGGACGGAGCTAATGATTGCGGTGCGTTAAAAGCGGCACATACTGGACTCTCTCTGTCGGATACGGAATCTTCCGTCGCCTCGCCCTTTACCAGCCGCGAGACCAACATTTCTTGCGTTCTGACGGTGATACGCGAAGGTCGCGCCGCACTAGTGACATCCTTTGGCATCTTTAAGTACATGGCTGCCTACTCGCTCACGCAGTTCATCTCGGTGATGCTCCTCTATAGCATCGAGTCCAACCTAACCGATTTCGAGTTCTTGTACATCGACCTCTTTATCATCTCATTATTCGCTTTCTTCTTCGGCCGCACCGAGGCCTACGAGGGCCCGCTGGTAAAAATGGCGCCGCTTAACAGCCTCATCAGCACGTCACCGGTACTCAGTCTCATCACCCAACTTTTGATCGTCGCGATTTTTCAATACACGAGCTTCTGGCATCTACAACAGATGCCATGGTTCATGCCATTCAACGTGACCGCAAGCGAGGACAAGGATGATGTAGGCTGTTTAGAGAATTATACGATCTTCATCGTCAGTTCCATGCAGTACATCATTCTGGCCGTGGCATTCTCCAAAGGACCGCCGTACAGGAAGTCGCTCTTCACCAACTATGGTCTACTCACTTCCTTTGTTTTCCTAAGTCTCTTCTCCATCTATCTTGCAGTATGTCCCTTCACGTGGTTGATTAATATATTCGAGCTCGTGCTGCCTGACGATCTGAGATTCCGCTTCATTCTGGTCGGTTACGGCGCGGTGAATTTTGTGATCGCGATATTAGTCGAGTATCTCTTCGTGGAGTACCTTGTGTTCGGCAAGCTGCGCTACCGTTGGCACGACGTAGATAAATCACGGCGAAAGTTCCTGGCGATCGAGCGCGATATGGCGCGCGACGTCAAGTGGCCGCCGATCTCCCAGGAACCTCTACCGGAAGCCGCACCGAATGTACTGATCCGGCAGAACGTCACCGAGATCAAGATCGAGAAAAAGATCACCGAGCCGTGCCTTCCCGCCGATACCAGCTTTATGAACAGCTCGCCGCCCATCTGCGCCAGCTTCAAGCATTTTGGCTCTGCTCGCGAGGTCACTCTCAATCCACGATCCCTCTTCGACGATTGTCGGAACACGGTGTCGATGCAGACGGTACCGTGCTTCGAGGACAAGGACTCGTCGCCAAGGCAATTAAACGCGGAATCCACTGCAAAACGACGGCACAACTCGGAATCGGAGAACGGCATCAATCGTTACGAGAAGCCCTACATGAATCACAACACCAACCCCATCGCCACGCTTCCCAGAAACCCCAACACGACCCTTCAGCCACAGAAGCTGAGAGATTTCAAGGACGTCCTGGTTCATCAGAGCGACGATCGAGTGTCGCATAACACTCAAAGCGTGCTCGAGTTGGATATCCTGCCGTCCTGAGGACCGAGGCATTCGAAAGACCGTTCAAGAGGTAGTTGAGTACCAATAAAGCGGCTAATGCAAAGTATTATTTTGAGACATATATATTCTCGCGGTATATAGCGCAATCTCCATCGCCGATTGGCGTATTTAGGGTGTCGCAGCTTGATAATTATGGTTGAAAAAAATCATAATTTGAAAAGTCTGATCCAGCAGCAACTTTTCTGAGCTTTGGATACCGGATAGTATTGCAATCTACATCCCCGTTACGATCTCTTTCTATCCGGTGCTCGTGATATCCAGAACATGTTCTATTCGTGAGGAACGAACGGCGTTTGGCTCGATCTCCGTCGTTGATCAGGCGAATCTTGAATTGATGCATTTAGTCTGTCGCGGTGTATCCACGATTTGGGATAACTAACGACGTTTACTTAAGCTACATGAGTGATACGAATAAGCCGAACGTTAGAATAGCATTAAAGCTCTTTGCTCATTACTGACGATCTCTAGATAATTAATTTGGATTCATCTCTTTATTCTCTTTCCTCTATAGAACACTGTCTTTTTTTAGAAATAATTAATATATTTAATATGTAATTTATATATTTATATATATATATAAGCATTTTATAACTTCCAAAATATTCTAACTTCGGCTTATTTATATTTATCGACTCGAATCAGGGTCCCTTTTGACCCAGCTCTCCTTTGTCCTCGTCCTCCCCTTCATTAGTATTCGAGAGAGAGCGATGCAAACTCTCGAGAAAGTATTATTATTATTTATCATACAATTAGAAGAAAATTTTGTAGCGAGAGAAATTATATATTGGTTCCGCACAAGGGAGATTCCTCGTAACGGAGCGCAGCTATTTATATTTCAAGGACACGATTACAACAATGTTTACCATAGAGTTTTAAAACAGAGCGAGAATTTCGAATGCAACTCTCGGAGTGATGATGTCTTTTACTTTCACTCGCAAGTCGAACGAATACTTAAGCAAACTCGCGACTTAATCCTTTATATTGTGTTTAGCTAGGACGAAAATTAGCATTAACTACCTGGAGTCGCTTTCTCCCCAAGCATCTTCACATGTTTCTCAATGCATTTCGTATCCCTGAAATTTTTATTCGTATTTATTCGTATTTATAAAGCAGCGTGGTTAATAATTATTTATTTAGCGCGTGTACACACATCTTTTGCATTTTACGGAACGATGAGATTTGGCAGGCAATTATGATCGCGAATGATGATCGCGAATTACGATAGAAATTGATTCATTGTTGCTCTATTTAAACATTCATTTCAAAAATCATTTCACAATGAGAAATTTTATTATTTAAATTATTTATTATTTAAATTTTATTATTTAATTTAATTAGAAGCGATATGTAAATGATGCAAAGGGATCAGAGGCTGCCAGAGAATGCGTATTACGTATTAGATTTAATGATAGAATTATCTCTTGAATACTTTGCGATGTTAAAATAGGCCAAAGCGATAACGATAAGCTAGATAGATTATCGGAGCCGATACGTATTGTTAAATAACTATGTCAAAGTAAATGTGTACTTATGAAAAATGCGTGTGCAACGGAAACATAGATACTTAATCGCGTTGATTTATTCGCAACGCTGTTAGTTTGTGTTGAAAAAGTAGCGGTTGTCAAATGAAATATGTTTTTAATGTAAATACTGTTTACTCTTATTTCGCTCTCTCTTTCTCTTTCTAATTGTTACTCTTTTCTCGTTACATAATATAAATCGATAATATTAAAATTTTAATTGTAACGGTAACATCGTCAATCAAATCTATTATAATACTTTGGTTATTAATATAATCAAAGTAATAAATTTACAACGTTATCACGTTGAAATATTATGTAATTAATATACGCGATAAGTGCGTTAAAGTATATTAAAATTGATTGAAGAGATGAAATGCAATTATAATGCTATGGTATGGATTGGAAGAGAAAAATAATCAATCGATCAATAATGAAAGTCGAAAACAGAGTATTTATTAAGCGCAAATTCATACGTATATCATACACACGCTTAATTTACAATGCATTCACATCGATAAAATTACAACACACTTGCGCCACCCGCTTGTGTCAATAGAGATACTTATATATAAAATCGCGTATTACGTTTGACAAAAAATGTCGACTCTATTCGCGTTTTTTTGGAACTATATTAGAAATTCGCGTCCGCGACTCCCTTCTTAAACTCTGCGACGTTAGATTTTATTTAAATAACTTTTACATCCTTGTAAAATAAAATGGCTATAATTCCATTAGGCATATACTTCTTTTCAAAACAAGTCGTTTAAATTATCATCTCGTTAAACGCCTCCGTCTTTGCGTCGCATCGCGGTTTTTCAAGCGCGATCGATCCTCCTCTCGGCAGAGAAGAACACTCGAACCTTGTGTCATGCAAAGTCCGCGGTTCCAGCTAAGGTATTCTCAGGACTCTCCTGAGGATAATTCTTCCGGGATCAGCGGGACGCGCTACGAGTTTATGACGTACGTGATCCAGTCGACGGTCTTGGCCACGCGATGATAGATCCCCGGTTGACCCGGCTGCGCGCAGGAGTAACCGGCGGAGACGATTCCGATGAGATACCACCGACCGGTTTTCTCCAACATCAATGGGCCGCCGCTGTCGCCCTGAAAGTTAAAAGGCGTCGCGCTCATGGGATGATGAACGAAATAACGGGAGACGGCGATTCATCGTTCAAACAATACGCGCCCACGATGACGAAACCGCTTTACCTGACACGAGTCCTTGCCGCCGCCGCGATAACCGGCGCACATCATCTCGTCATAAATGACGACGTTGATGCCATTGGATCGATGCCATCGCTCGCAGAGGCGATTATCGATCACGGGCACGTCTACTGCCTGCAGCGTCTTGGGTCGCAGTCTGGAACCTAAACGAGGTAATTCGTGAAAATAAACAGCCAACGAGGATAATAACTAATTAATAAAACTTTAATTATTATAATGAATTATTATTCACTTAAAGATATGTAATGTAATATTTTTTTTTTTTTTAAATCCAATAAGTGGATTAAAAAGATTCTAATTTTTTTCTGTACGACGGAAAAGAAAAATACACGATTTTAAAATTATATTGCCAGATGATATTATTCACTTAAAGATATGTAATGTAATATTTTTTTTTTTTTTAATCCAATAAGTGGATTAAAAAGATTCTAATTTTTTTCTGTACAACGGAAAAGAAAAATGCACGATTTTAAAATTATATTGCCAGATGGATATACAGAAAATTCAATTTTTCTTTGTAAATAATACGCTACCTGCTTGCAACGCGCCCCATCCAGCAGCCCAGCCATATTGTCCCAAGAAATCTTCATTTTTCTCTGGTAAACATATAGGCGCTATATGAGGCATATAATGAACCGGTCGGTCCAATCGAAGCACCGCCACATCGAATCTGATAAATAATCGAATATAGAAGATGTGAGCGGGGGTAGTCGATAAAATTTATTCTATACAAACATTTAAACATTCAAAGTATACACACATCCCTCTAGTGTGTTTCTAATAAATTAACAATATCATAAACACACACCTGTCCGCCTGCGGCGTAAACTTGAAGTAAGGATGCACTCTAATCTCTCGAACCCCAAAAGTATAAGCTGGAAGGGACTCACTTGCAGAATTGACCACGTAATCGCCGAGAGTTACTTGAACTTGCCTAGCCGATGCTCTAAAGAATTTCAAGAATTTATTTAATATTTCCTATATTATTATTATTATAGCATTGATTAATATATAGAATTTTGTTGGTATTATCTCGAATATTAATAAAAGCTTAAATATCAAATTTAATGTTTGAAATTTTATTAACAACTCACAAACTTTGTCTTTAGATTCTGGGGAAAGCCACGAATGCGATTGCAATTAATCAATTTAATAATTGATATATATATAATATAAATTATTTTTCACTTACTTTGCAACGCAGTGCCCGGCCGTGACAACGTGAAACCGATTGACCAGAGTGCCGCCGCATCTGCTGGATCCGATCCGTATGTAAGCCTGTCAAAGCAAGAAACTATTTCAATGACGAGCTCGAAGCATTCGAGCAAGAGTTTCGTGTTATCGCCGTGTCTGACCTGCCACGGAAAACTGCCGAAACCGGCGTCGTCACCACCGACGATCCTCCTCTGCGCGATCTGCTTCGAAACTACCGGTATGCCGCAACCTGTAAAAACGCAATTGCCTGGAGAATCGCGAGTAATTGAGGTGCCACCTTTATAGTCATAGCGCCGTCAGGTCTAATCATTTGTCGCGACGAGTTATGCCAGAGTTGCCAGATTTTTTCTCTTGGAAAAAATGGGAATTAAGCGCAAATTTCTGTAGAAATATTTAGTATAATCGTAATAATATTCTCTTATATAATAGTCGCGCGACAAAGCTAGCTAGATATCTTTTGCACAAAATATAAAAGGCTAAAAATCCTGAATCATTCTGTGTAAACGTAGAACGTCTGGCAATTCCAACTATGCCGTAATCTGTGATTACAATATTGCAATCAACGCTTCTAGAGCCGAGTTGCGCCGTGAAATTGAAAATATGAAGTAATCGACAGCGATAAAAATGTTTTTCTTTCCCGTTTTTCGTATCACCGAAATTGGACTTGGAGTAATGTAACGACTTGTATTTTATAGCGCCTCTTCTGTCCGATTACAATGTGTTGGACCACAGCTTCTGTGCTTCAATCGCAATAATTTCAATGGTAACTCGATCATCCACTTTCTCGAATATCGTTTGATCAAAGAAATTATTCGCAATTATTTATATACATATTAGCCGAAGCAGCTGATTAAAGAATTTCGAGAAGGGAAGAAGCATCAATTAATATTTAACGCATTAATGAAAACAATAGTTCGTCTCTTAGTTAGTCGCTGGCAAATCCATGCGTTTATTAGTGCATCGCCTTATAAAAGCATTCGCGTGCAAAAAACGGAGTTGTCGCAACGAAGCGCCATCGGTCATGAGAAAAAAACCGGGAATGCAGATCGCCAAGGTTTTACAAAATGTCAAGTGGAATTTATCAAGAAAATTAATCCACTGACAAGGACAATTGTTACAGTGTTTAATACATATGTGCGGCTGTCGCAATTTCTATCTATACCAGCCCTTTAGCTAAAACTTATAATTTCTACTCTTGTAGATATTCTCTATTCATAGTTTGTCAAAAATTATACTCCTTCGTCTTTAAAAGAACATCTTATTTGGCTGTTTTCACCGTTGCGGTGAAAAATACAAAAGGATCGAGATCGAGGAAACTGGCGTTTGTACCTGTTAACATGCGTTTATGGGAATTTCAACGGATATTGTGCAAAAATATAACATAACAATATCATATAAAAAATTATCTCCGGATTAGCATGCATAGGAAGATAGAAATTTATGCAAATTTATTTGACATGCTTGTGAAATATATATCCTTGTAAATTAAGAAAAATAAAGAAACATAAAATATATACATATATGTTTCAAAGAAGAAAGAAATATGAAACTTGAAGAAAGAAGAAATGTGTGGAAGATATCCGGCAAGAATATCCTCATAAATTAAGAAAAATAAAGAAACATAAAATATATACATATATGTTTCAAAGAAGAAAGAAATATGAAATTTGAAGAAAGATGAAAGGATATTTTAGAATAACAAATGTGGAAGACATCCGGCGAGAAAACTACGCAATTTTTTGGGATGAAACTGGGTTTTGAGGAAGGAAGTGACATGCTCGGAGTACATGCGAGTGCGCGGAATTGCGAAATAGTTGAGCACTTGAGAAGAAGAACAAGTGACAAAGAGAGAACAGGAGCACGAAAAGAAGAAAGAAAAATGAAGAGACAGGGGAAGAAGAACTCATGCTTGCAAGTGCGTGGTGCCAGTGCATGGAGGGCATGCTTTTTCGAAGGAAGGACTTACGATCGTCGCTGTCGGTCTCCGTGTACAAATCCAGCGGAAGCGGCCGAGATTGATCTCTAGGTGAATCGATCAGGTTATAATCAGTGAGAGCTTTAGGGTCTTTCCGCTGACAACACGCGAACATAATGCCGCCGCAGCTGCCGTCCAATAGGCCAGCAGTCATCCAGCACATTAGAAAAAATTCGCAGCTCCGTCCGTCCGCGCACAATGTATCGTCGCCTTTCCACAGCGGTCTTTTTTGTTGGCGCGTCTCTGCAGAGGAAAATATGCAAACTCTTCGTCTCTCGCGACTGTCAAGTTACGTAATTGTTCCGCGCGACTGTCAAACTTAGAGCGATGTGACGCGGTCGCGCTTCCGGTCCGAAGAGGAAGAAATCTGAACGAGTACGTCATCGTGGTTACTAATCTAAGTAGCGATCTGCATGACTATTTGATGACTGAAATCAGGAACGCTCTCGTCACAGAATGCGAATCTTCAATGCAACTCTTCTCAATCAAGATATTAATTATTAAGTGTTGCAAGTATTAATGTCAATCGTTTAAAGACATTTGTAACTATCACATGTTATTACATATATGTCAAATGAAACATATGATCCTGATACATCTTTGATTGTTAATTTGTACGCAAAGAATTGCGTTTTTTCTTAAAAAATACAAATCTTTTCTATAAATCTTTCGATGCTCCGATTGTTGATGCTCAATCATTATAATTAATAATCGAAGGAAACGCGAAGCCGCCACTCTTAATCTGCCAGTTACTCCAAGTCTAACTTCGAAATACAAAACGGTCGAAAAGATCAGGGTCGGCTTAAAACTAACGTAATCGCAGTATAACAAAAAAAAATATTAAAATTTCCATTGTTTGAAAAATTGCTTATAAATAAAAATATTTTTAAATTGAATACAATTTATTCCTTAAATCTTGAGCGGAGCGATACTAATTTACAAAGTTAAAGATATTTATATACTAATGAGATAAATCTGTATCTTCCGTAAATAATTTTGACAATGGATTTAATGATATTTATAATCTGTGTAATTAAGATTATCACAAAGTGAAATGATTATAAGTAAATAATTATATCTCGTTTTAGATCTGACCAAAATTTTTTCCGACGATATTGAAACGAGGCTCTCTCTATAGAAAGGCGTTTGAGCAATTGTAAAAGGGTCCCTCTGTACCAACCCAGCATAACGTCAATTTAACATCCCGCGAAAAAGATGTTGTAATGATTGCCGTGCCTCAAACCACGACGGAAGTTGCAGACTACAGTGGAAATAAGTTTCGCGCACCATTGGGAATTGCGTGATTTTTATGAATATGTAAGAGGCGATTGAAGAGAATCAAGCCAAGATCGCGAACTTGAAAAAAAATCGAAAGTTCCCTGTCAAACGACGTCGTTAAGGCTGACTATCGATTCCCTGATTCTGCGCGTGCGGCCGCGAATTGCACGTACCTGTTTCCAATCTGGGATAATCCTCCGCTGTCTGCTTTCGGTGATCTGAAATAAAGACGAGATGTTTTTCTGGAAAGATGACGCCTATCGTCAAGTCGAAGAGAAAAAAATAATTTACTGTATAATGTCAATAAAAAAAATTATAACATAATAATCTCTCTCTTTCCATTTTCGATATAAAATAGAGATAGAAAAATTATAGGTAAAACTGTATAAAAGGTAACACACCTCCGATTTTATCGCCACTTAAATATGTTATAGAGGAGGTCCTTCTGAGTAATTCTCCGCAAGAAATAAGTGGGGGACGGCATTGGTTTAGGAGATAGAACAAATTAAAGTTTCACGGTTTTAATGCTTTTTCTCAGGTATTATAAAGTAATTATAAAGTAATATTAGGAAAAGTGAAGTTTGTATACGTTGTATTTGTTGTAGAGCAGACGTGGAAAAAGTGTTTGTTTACATTTACGGGATAGATACACAGTCCTGGATATTTTATCAATAATGTATTTCACCTATTTTTCGCAGTTCGTTGACAGCTTTCAACATGTGACTACACGAATTTGTGAGTCTTGTCTTGAAAAATATTATTTATTGAACGCGTGGGTGGAGGAGGGGCTCCGTCCCGTAAATGTCATAAACAATTTTTAAACAGTTTTTTTCAATGAAAATATAACAAATTATACAGCACTTCTAAACCAATACCGTCCTCCACTTATTTCTTGCGCAAAAACTTCTGAGTAATTCCCTGCAAGAAATAAGTGGGGGACGACATTGGTTTAAAAGATACAATAAATTGAAATTTGACATTAAAGTATATGTATGCTGTATAATTTGTTATATTTTCATTGGAAAAAACTGTTTAAAAATTGTCCCCTATAACATATTCAAATGGCGATAAAATCGGAGGTGTGTTACCTTTTATGCGGTTTTACCAAATTATGTTATAATAATCTCTCATAACATAATAATCTCTATTTTCAATATAAAATAAAGATAGAAAAATTATAATATAATATCTGTCGATAGAAAAATTATAATATAATAATCTCATATAATATAATAATCTCTATTTTCGATATAAAATAGAAATAGAAAAATTAGTTAAATTTAATATAATATTTGTCGATAGAAAAATTAAAATATACTAATCTCTATTTTGAATTGTTAATTAATTGAATACTGAAAAGGAACGAAGAATCTTAATATAAGAATTACTTAATAGCATTCTCGTAGAAACTAAGTACTGTTTAACATTTCTTAAATACGGTTGCTTATTGCCTTTTCATTTAGACAAATTGATCGTTACAGTTTGCTGCGCAGGAATTACATAGATATCTCACGGTATATAATCATGAGTTATTTGACTCGTACGTATCGATTTGTTTACAATTGGAATATTTCGAGAATATCATATAACGCGTCATTTACATTTGCATGTTTTGTAAGCATTATTGTCGATAAAGCGCTATTTGCACAACAAAGTGGTTTACAGAAACGATGGGATTACGCGAGCGCGCAAAGGCAAAGAGAAGAAAGTAAAAGGGAAAAGTGCTTATTAGACACTTCAAAGAGGAATGAGCAGCAGTAAACACGAGTCTATATCGTTCTATTAAACTGTGCGGTCCAAGGTTTCTAATATACCGCAAGAAAATGTGTATTTGATGATGGCTCTGGATCGTTTAAATATTAGAGAAATTGTGAGATTATAATTTTATAATTCGCCAAGAAAATAATCTTCAGCTTTTAGTGCAACAATGCATATTAAAAATTGCAACATGAGAAATAAAAATAATAAGAGGATCTAATTATGAGTCAGTTTGAACACAAAATATTAAATTTGAATTTCAAACGCAATAGAAACGAAAACGATTGAAGAACGCGTATACAATCGCACATAATTAAAACGAGGAAAAAGAAAAGGCTCTTACCTCTGACGTCATCCTCGAATTCCGGCAACTGATTAGACTGCTGGAAGAAAGAGGCTCCGCCGCCTCCGATCGGCGGCAGGAAGTCGTTGTCGCGGAATATCAATCGCGGTGTCCGATGGGACATCACCGGCCTGTTGTAATCGGCGATTACGGGGCTCCTCCAGAGGGACTTGTGCTGCCTCCACGTACCGGGTAACTGGGGGACGAAACGCGCGATCGGCCCGAGATTCCTGCCTTGCGACGCAGGTGGACCGCCACCCACGTCGGCGAGGTAAGCAGCGGATCCCGTAGGAAATCGCACATATCTTCGCCGGCGAATCGCCGCCAACCCCCTAGTGCGATTCGTCTCGTCTCTTAGCACGCCGATGGCCGGGGAATCCAAGTTCGCGAGCTGCCGCGTCTCGCTCACCATCAAGCTCGAGAAGAGACTCAGGACGACCGCAGCGAGAAGCCAATGACACGGCCTCGATACACCCATCGTTTTGCTGGGAAGAAATTAGAAATCAGAATTGTACGAAATAATCCTGTGTGTATATACTACGTCCAAAGAGAGAATGACCTCGGTCCGCGCATAAACGAGCAAAGTGGACAGAACATGGCGAGATATTCAATACCGTATACGTAGATACGGCTTCTGTGGGTGGAGACCTGCGCAAAACGGACGAGTTTTCGTCCGGATCGAGGTCATTCTCTCTTTGGACGGAGTATACATATATATAATAACATTGTAAAAAAACTGAAACCTCAGACAAAATGTCTGCAGCTTTTTTGCAGACACACTGTCTGAATTTTAAGACACACTCTTTTGAACTTTCAGGAAAACGACTCTGATGATTAACACAGATTGCCTGAAATTTATTTCAGATATCCAGACACTTGTTTGAAAATTCAGACAAAAATGTCTGAATTTTTAGAAAATTTTTTACAGTAAAGATATATTTTAAGTTTATTTTACATTACATATTTTATGTTTGCGTAAGGCGAGAGACGCGCCTGTAAGCGATCTTATCACATGCGACAATATTCTTGAAAATCTTAGATAATATTAGTACTCTCGATTCAGACCGATTTTCTCTTCGCAGTCGGAGTTTCACGAGTCGTTAATCATCATCGCGAGCGCTATTAAAACGGCCGATTCTCAGCGAAAGGAAATATGCTTCGTTCGGACTCGTAATCAGGTGGAATCGTAAAAGATTCTGGTTCGAGGAATGCCACGTTACTCGTACCGACAATTATCGGTAGCGGTTTCGCGGCGGCTCGAAGAACTTTCTTTTGGCATGAATCGTCTGCGAGCGTTGCTTTTGTACGTGAAACAATGAGAATGATATAAAAATAAATTATGCAAAATATATTTTAGTAAAAATGTTAAAATCTTATTCAAGTAAAAAATTCGCTTGAAATTATTTATCAAAATATTTTTTTTTTTATATATGTAATTATCTTTTCGAATATTTTTTTCTTGAAATTTATTATAAAATCTTTCAATCGCTTGAGGTTCGTGTCAACATCTTGCTTTGTAGAGCAATCATTTTTTTCAAATTTAGATTTTATTATCTACTATTCTTTGCGTGAGTAAATAGAGAAAGATTCCACTGTATAAGGTAACGCTTAGAGGCAAAGTGGAAAAAACAACTTCCTCGTGGCCCGTGAATTCCTCTCGGCGCGACAAGACAAAATCCAGTTTGCGTCACGATCCTTCGTAACGAGTGAAAGTAAAGAAGTTCACCCGGAACCAAACATCAAGACATTTATACCCAAGAAGATTCACTATGAGCGCTTAAATCCATCAACATCGCTGCCGAATAGAATTATTGCCTATCATCAACATTAGCGAGAGAAAACGACGCGCCAACCGCAAAACTTTAATAAGAATTTCTCTATTAGCACCTCGAAAGCATCTGAAAAATCTATAAATCTTTATATTTTCAATCGCATAAAATTCAATTAATATTAATAATAAAAAGTTAATTTCAAATTAATGGATCTATAAATTTTTATTATAAGAAGAAAAATATGAGTGGATCCTTCGTAGCTAAATTTTTTCAAAAGCCAAATTTCTGAGGTTTACGATATACATGCGAAAGATCTGATTGACGTTGATTGACGTTCAGTCTAGACAAATATGGCGGGAAATGTCAAAAAGAAAAGAAAAACCGGAGAAGGATATAATTGTTTGTTGAATAATCCCTGGTGGACGGCCTTGTCGAGCCACTATCAATCGCGGCGGCGCTTGGTGAACGGTTCGATGTGTTAGTAGGTCATTGGCTCTCCGTCACGTGGATCCACCAGAAGTGAAAGTGTACTTCTTGCGTGCATAGTGTGAAGTTCACGTTCACGCGGTGCTACCCGCCGCCCCGACACGACGGAAGTTACAAATCGTTGCTAATATCGCGTTCTCGGAATTTCCACATCTACCTCTTTTGTCCCCCCCCCCTCCCTCTTCTATTTTTATTTCTTTTGTACCCTGCAAATACGTCAAATACGGCGAATGCATGCAAATTTATGTGTTCGATTATTACTGTAACGCAATCGCTTCTGCTCCGATTCTCATAATCGCTCGATTGCAATTTCTGACGGAACGTCTTTCTTTTTTGCCCTAGCGGAATGCAAGCAACGAAACGCTGCGATCTTCTTTTTTTTTTTTTTTAATTTTCAGCTCCGTCGAGCGTATCTTGATTCGCGATTATTAAATTGTGAAATCAAACTGTAATGTATATCATGCGTATAACAATATACGATATATGTATGAGGAGATATTTCAATTATAATCCAACTGCAACTAATTTTTTTTCCGGGTTGGTAGTTCAGTCTTCAAATTCGAATCGACAGTTAAAGGCGATCGACTTTTTTGTCATAGTTTATCGAATCGCAAAAATTCTAAATTCACAGAACTGGCCGCTTGGACCAACTGGAGACGTCGCCGTTTCCAGCTGTCAGTGAAAGCTCGTGCACGTGCAAGCACCCACATGGATCGGTCCCCTGATCGGATATCTTCTTCCTCTCTCGCGTGAATCGACATTTAAAAGAACGAGGGGGGAAGCGGGGTACATCACTTTCTCCAGGCGCCACGCGCGAGCATTACTTTCGCCCAAACTTCCGAAGGATAGCCGTTCTCTCGTGCGTTCCGCTACGAATGGGCCACAATTTTTCCTCGAAGCATCGCGTGTACGCGCCCTAATAGCTATGACAATAGCTACATGACAATGGGAACCGGCCAAGCGTCACGAAGAAAAGCGGTGGCACGCGCCACCGAGCCACGACCGTCAATGATAATGTCAGTGATAATGCTGTACTTATCTATGTGCATGCACGCGTTTGGAATTATATAATATAAACCTAAATAATATATCTCAACGTCGAACAAAATGAAACGCTATTACATCTCGTGCGCGCTTTATTAAACATACCGTATCTACTTAACCGGACGCGGCTAATGTTTCGGAAAATATAAGGATAATCTTACAAGCGATGTATCACAAAAAAAATATTATATATATAATATATATAATTATTAATATATAATAAAAATGTAATCGAAGGAGTCCGTGTAATGATAGCGTTACGATTTATATCATTTTATTTATCAGAACATCATATTTCATCAACCATAACAATTAATTCCTTCGTACGTTTCTTTGTTATAAATCATTTAAACCATTTTAAATTTATCAGGACTGTTCAAGTATGTTTCAAATAAAACAGAAGAGCTCTTTATTCTTCAATTGTCAAATTCGCTGACGTAACCGGTGCGGTTACAGCGAACGCAACGACTTTGAAAAGCTTTTACTCGCGTGTAAAAATTTTGACAGATGACACTTATTGTTGGACACTTAAAATTTGTTTTTATAAATGCGTTTTGGAAACGCATTCGCGCGCGCGCGCGTTTCCTTTTGAGAAATAAGAACCGGTTTCTTCACCGAAGAAATCTTGACGTCGCAGCGAGTGATCTTATTCATGGCCTTGAAAGGAGTAAACATTTTCGCGGTCTAATTCACCGATATCTTTCGTGACGAACACTTTCCATTGTGTAATGAATCTTTTCTCACTTGGGTTTCTGGTCCGTTTCCGAAGACGATGAATGTGTAGCAGCAACGAGCAAACGTTTTTCAGCAAATTAAAATGATATGAAAAAATCGCGCGTCCCGCAAAAGAGATTCTATTGATAAACATTTACTTCTTACAAAATCCGGTGCAACCGCTTTCACGACTTATAGTTTGATTTAAATAACACGAGTTAAAAGTCTACTCATGTAGCGACTCTTCGAGTTCCACGTTTCTCTTCAGATCTCTCTATCGAATTCCGTTACGTAAACCACGACGTGTGTTTGGGCAACGCGTGTACAACGGTACCGAAGCGTGCATCCTCAATGCGCCGTCGCGAGCGTTTCGTTTTGAGAAAGAACGGAAGTACTTTCACTGCCTACGAGGATGGCAACTTAAAAATAAAAGAGCCTCCTCTTCGAAAGCGACACTACGCCACGTGACGCAAAGGTTCGCGTTTTAAACCGGCGATCTTACAAAACTGTGTCCTTCACTATAAAAAAAAAAACTGACTGAAACTTCGGGCAAAGCGTCCGCAGCTTTTTTTGTAGACACGCTGTCTAATTTTCAAACAGAATGCTGTCTGAATTTTCAAACAGACTCTTTTGAACTTTTAGAAAAACGACTCTGATGATTGACAGATTATCTGAAATTTCTTTCAGACGAAAATTCAAATAAAAATATGTCTGAATTATTATAAAATTTTTTACAGTATTGTTTACAAAATTAGCGGAAAGATTTTTTTTCCACGCGAAATTATCAAAAACATATCACATTCATCTCCATCCAAGATTTTCAAGGAACATATATTTTAGTCTCTTTCACTATTTTCTCTAGTATATTATTTTGTTGGCATAAATTTCTATGTACATTTTTTATAAAGTAAGAGTTTTTACGGTGAAACTTTCGTGTGTATAATAGTTGCATCAAATTTCTTTGAAAAAGGACCGACCGTGATTTCCACAGTCACGCGATCATTTATTATTAGTGTCAATTATGTCAATTATGAAAAAGTGTTCTAATTAAGACTAATGAACACGTAGTTATGAATTATATTAAAGTTACGAATTAATATTATATTAAGATTGATATTGAATATTTTTTATGGAACACACTCTCTCTCTCTCTCTCTTTCTCTATTACTATATAAGAATTTATGTATAAACGAGATATTACATTAACGTATTAGCGTATATTATTAGACTTAATAGACGTTGAACAAAATTAAAATCGAGATTGGGAACGAACGTGGCACCGATCGCTTCCATGCATTAAAATCACCGCGCATCGGTTCGCGTTTTTCGCTTAACACACTTTTTATACGTATAAGAGACGGCTGATAGCTTCTCCTTGGAAAGATAGGTGCTCTACACGAAGGCGATCTTGCTTTCTCCCTGCTGCTTTTATAATATAACTGCCGCATTTAATCAAACGTTAAGCTTAACGAAACCGAGCATTCCGTTTTAATCCATCGCATTGATTCCGATAGTAAATCGAATAAATTTGATTCTTGCCGTTTTTTTAATTCTTCGCACACGCGATTTATCGTTTATACGATCAAGCACACGAGACTACGGGAGAAAGTTTTCCTTTTCGAAGCTGAGCCGATCACTCTTTTTACGCACACAGATTTTTGCATTGTTAAAAAAATACGAGTCTCTCAAGATAGATCGAAAGATAGATCCTTAAACACGCTATGTCGAGAAGAAAGCACCATTCTGTTACCAACTTTGTCTTTTTGCGATAATGAACTGTATACACGTATGAATGGCCTGATTATGAATTTTAAATTGTATCTCTCATTACGGAAGCG